TGGCTGCTTTTTTCTCATTCTCCATGCTGGTCTCTCTTCATCCACTCGATTTCTAATTGTTAGAGGGCTCAGGATCAGTCCTCAGATCTCTTTTCTATCTATTTTCACTTCTTAGGGGAGATCTCATCCTTCATGCCATCCATACACTTATCATCCCCAAATTTGTATTTCCAGCCACACCTCCTTCCCTGAATTCTAGGCTAATATGTCCAATTATCAAATTGGCATCTCCGGGAAGTTTTAATAGACACCTCAAACTTAGTATGTCTAAAACCCAAACTCTTGATATTTACCTTAAAATCTGTTCCTCCCACTCTTTTCTATCTTAGTAAACAAAAGCTCCATTCTTCCAGTTATTCAGACTCAAAACCATGGAGTCATCATTGACCCTCTTCCTCCCACACTTCATCCTCAATCCATCAGCAAATCACAGGGTGTTATCTTCAGAATGTAGTCAAACTGTGACTATTTCTCACCACCTCCATTGCTGTCTATATAACCCAAACCATCATCATCTCTTATTTGCTCCAAAGGTTTTTCGTTTTTTCTTTAACTTTCACCTTTGCTCCTCACAGTCTATTCTCAACCCAGAATCCAGAGTAATTCTTAAGTGAGCCCACGTCACTCCTCTGCTACAAATCCTCCAAAAACTTCTGATCTCACTCAGAATAAAAGTCTGGCTATCTCTCTGACTTCATCTATACACTTCACTATTTCTGCTGCAGCCACACTGGCCTCCTCATTGTTCCTTAAACATGCCAAGCATGTTCCAGCCTCAGGAACTTTGCACTTACTATTGCCATTGGCTAGAAAGATCCACATGGCTTACACTCTCACTTCATTCAAATCTCTACTTTTATGATGCCTCATCAGAGATGTTTTCCCTGACCATTCTAGCTACAATACTATCTCCTCCTTCTTACTTTCTATACCCTTATAGTATTTTTCTTCACAGTGCTTATCATAACCTGACATATATTTATATGTTAACATGTTTATTCACTATCCTACTCCCATTAGAATGTAAACTCCATGAAATTCGGAACTTTTTTATTATGGTAAAGTATTCATGGAACTTTATTTCATTTGCTACTTTATCTGCAGAGCTAGGGCAGTGTCTGGCACATTATGCGTGCTCAGTGAGTTTTGTTGAATAAATAAATGAGTGGTCTCCATCACTTACCCTGAAACTAACTTCTGAAAGTAATTCAGAATAAAAGTGACTGTGGCCAAAGAAGACTAGATGTTGCTAGAAACATGTCCTGGGATGCTACTTAACTAAAATAGCATGTAGTTGTGAAGCTCACATGTTACAAATTTTCTCTAATGTATCTATCATGTGAAACTCATACCCTGCCGATTTCTGGAGGTTTCAAGGATCACTGGTGACCCTGAAATATGATTTAAGATATGCTAATGCAATTTAAGAAATGTTAATTCCAAATTTGCAGTTATACCTTCTATCTTTTTTTTTTTGTTATACTTTCTATCTTCATGCCTATGAAACAGAGCTGTAAACTGACAGGAAGCTGTTACCTGCACTAAGTTTCAAAAGCCTTTCAGTGCTTGAGTCAGTGTTTGATTGAGAAGTCAGGAAGTCTCCACAGGAATGGGATATGGTGGGCTTTATGTCATTTGAAGGCTTTACGGCATATTCTCGATAGTTCTTGCTTCTCTGAGGCCTTTTACCAAGACTTCTGTGCATGGATAGAGTTTGAGAATAATGACTATCATAATTTTCCAGAGCAACACCTGAAGGTAATGGATAGGGATGGATCTGGCCAGCATCACCCACATCCAGGCGTTTACTCAGGGAGGCATCATGGGTAAGCTGGTATGTATCAGGTTTTGGTATCAAGTCCTTTTCAGGAGAAGAACCTGAAGACATATTGTCAAAAAAAGGTATTCGGTATCCTTCTCTAGTCATCTTCTCTGGGGATCGGACTGTGGGCTGACGAGGCGAGTAGTGTCTGAATTCTAATCACCACCAAGGAAAAAGAAACAAAACATCATGAGAATTCTTTTGGCCTGGTTGGGAATACCTCAGTTCACTGAATATACTCTCTGTCTATAAGAAAAGGTTCTCAGGAAGAGGTGGTTTATAATTTTTTGAGACAGGGTCTCACTCTGTTGCCCAGGCTAGAGTTGCAGTGGCATCATCATAGCTCACTGCAGCCTCAAACTCCTGGGCTCAAGCAATCCTCCTGCCTCAGCCTCCTGAGTAGTTGGGACTACAGGTGTGCACCATTATGCCCAGCTAATTTTCCTATTTTTAGTAGAGATGGGGTCTCGCTCTTGCTCAGGCTGGTCTTGAACTCCTGGCCTCAAGCAATCCTCCTACTTCAGCCTTCTAAAGTGCTAGGATTACAGGTGTTAGCCACCACACCCAGCTACTTTATAATTTTGATAAATGGTAGCACAAAGTGATGAAAAGACTTCCACATGGAACAACGCCTCCACTACCAATAAAACATGTGGGACATTTGTGCAAACAGTAAAGAATCTGTAACATTTTGGAGACAAATTTGTTATCGATAGAACCCCCTAGGAATTTCCTCCTAAAATTATAGTGTCAGAGTTTTCTAGACTCTAAATTCATATAAAAAATTAGGTATACCCCCCACGTGGCAATAGTTGTGATTTTACAATTGATTTTATAGACAGTAGTTGGTCAATGATTTCATAGACTCCTTGCAATAAAGCTAAGCCCACTCCTACCCCGCAATCTCCACTCAGAGGCTCTAGGTTCTCTCATTGGGAACCAGTATCCTAAGCCAATTAAATGGTAGGAAATGCAAAACCTATGAAAATCCCTGGCCCAGGTACTATCCCAGCTGTAAAGCATTTCTTTCAGATACCTCTGTCATCTCCAAAAAGCCTCATAGTGGAGTAAGTAAAGCAGACAAAAAAGAGAGGGGTCTGTGCTCTTCGGTGCTTTCAAAGGGCTTACTTTGGAAACAAAAAATACTCTATCTGAGTTAGTCACACTAATTTAAAAATAGGCCAGGCTTGGTGGCTTGTGCTTGTAATCCCAGCCCTTTGGAAGGCTGAGGTGGGAGGATTGCTTGAGAACAGCCTGAGCAATACAGTGAGACCCTGTCTCTACAAAAAAAAAAAAAAAAATGCAACCAAGTACCTTCTAACTCTATAGGACCTATAAGAATATCAATGTTTTACCTAGTATCAACATATACACTGGGGAAATGCTATAGAATAATATCTTTAGGTAACGAAAAGAATCTAAGAACAAGGGACTTCAGTTTCAAGTAATGACAAATTAGGTAATTCACAGTAATCACCTGTTGAAGACGTTTAAAAAGTGGGATGATATATATTCTTAAAAGCATCAAAGAGCTAACATGATAGTGAGGAATTTCTAAGCCAAAATCTAGGAAACAGCAGGAACCCATTTAAGTAAGTCTAGCACTCGAAGCTACTTTTACTCTAGGCTTTTTAGGGCAAAAAGGGACAGAAGTCCAAGTCCAGGGTATACCCAAGGTGAGGAGTGTGACAAAACTCTCCCTCCCCACCCACATACACCCATTAAGATGGAACCTAAGCAGGATACAACCTTCAGAGTAAAGGTAAATTGGAAATAAACCAGCCTTTGTACTGACTGGTAATCCAGGTTTGCATCATCTGGGTGGTCCAGGGAACCTCAAACCTTGAGCTGGGACTAAGATGATCCTAGACTGATAGTGTGTCCCATGCATCTGGTAGAAGCAAATGAAAATCTGTTCTAAAAAAGATATATTCATGCAAGGCTTTCAATCATTCCTACAAATAATTTTTCAAATATAATAGCCAGCAAACATCCAAAACCAACCATTGAAATAAAAAGGAAACAAGACAATGTGAGTGATAACTAACAGAAAAAACAAACACAGACCCACAAAAACATAAGATATTGGAATTAACAGATACAGCCTATAAAACAACTATGTTTTCTATAGTTAAAGAAGTATAAAACAAGCTGAAAATTTACTCCTTATAAAAAGTGACCCGGTGGATTTGAAAAAGAACCAAATTAAACTTACAGAACTGAGAAAGAAAACAACTGAAATTAAGAATTCATGCTTGAGCCTAGGAGTTCAAGACTAGCCTGGACAACACAGTAAGACCCTGTCTCTACAAAAAATTTTTTAAAAATTAGTCAGACATGGTAGTGCATGCCTGTAGTCCTAACTACCCAGGAGGCTGAAGCAGGAGGATTGTTTGAGCCCAGGAGTTCAAATTTGCAGTGAGTTATGA